AAAGCCAGCCTGGGTTATATCATGAGTTTGCTATAACCTGAACTATTCTGTGAGACCCTTTTCTTAAAAGCCAAAAGTCAGGGTGGGCAGCGATAGAGTGCTTGCTTAGTGTGCATGAAGTCCTAGGTTTGGATCCTTAGCCTTACCTCACTAGGTAGGTAGGTAGGTAGGTAGGTAGATAGATAGATAGATAGATAGATAGATAGATAGATAGATAGATAGAAGATAATCCAAAATTTAAAAAATAGTAACACATTATAATAAAACCTTCAAAATTCTTCTGGGTATTGGATAATTAACTGTAGAAGAGTAGCATATAGCCATGGAAAAGAACGACGATACTCCCTGGGCTGGCTTGCAATCCTTCCTCTGCTGGGCCCTGAACTTCTCTGAGCCTCATGGGAATGCCACTATGTGAAGAGGCCCCATGGTCAAGGGGAGGTCTGCAGAACACATGATGTGCCTCCTTCCCTACCCCCAGCACCAGCAGAGCCCCTCCGGTGGGCACTGCTGAATAAACAATGCGGAAAAGAGAATAAGGTCCCCTCTTCTCAGAACGAATCTCAACACCTGCTCGTGGATGAAAGCAGACGGCGGGAAATGGGAAGAGACTGGTCCATATGTGAAAAGGTGCCGAGTCTAGGAAGCAGGGCAAGGCGGGCTTTTTGTATGTATGACATTCTCACACCTTTAAACTCAGCACTCAGGAGGCAGAGGCAGTTCTGTGAGTTTGAGGCCAGCCTGTTCTACAAAATGAGTTCTAGGCCATCCAGGGTTACCCAGTGAGACCCTTTCTCAAATAAATAAATAATAAATATAAAAGTCTCTGATTTGAGCCCAGTGATTTACAGGCAACTAACTATACTATACAGAAGAGACTTAGGTCTCAAAAAACACTTGAGGGCATATGGCACAGATAAGAAAGTGAAGAATTCAAGCAAACACAATGGCCATTAAAATAATAAAACAATAACTCTAACTCTGACAGTTCTACCTTGACATTTTGTAATATTTTTACTGTATTTAATTTTTGTGCATGTGTAAGACCATATGTGTGTGGGGGGTGTAAGGTTTGCATGTGTGTATGCATGTATATATATGCATGTCTATGTGATGTGCCTGTATTGTGTGGTACGTGATGTGCTGATGTGCATAGGGTGTGTATGTGTGTCTGTGTGATGTGTGTGAAGTATGTATGTGTGTATGCATGTATATGTATGCATGTCTGTGTGATGTGCATGTGTGTGTGTCTGTGTTTGTGTGTGTGTGTGTGTGTGTGTGTGTGTGTGTGTGTGTGTCCTTGAGGAGTTCAGCTTGCAGGAATCAACTCTCCTTCCACCATGTGGGTCCAGGGGATCAAATTCAAGTTGTCAGGCTTGGCAGCAGGTACCTTTATCAAATGAGCCATCTTGTCAACTGTCCACCTTCAGATCATTAAAGTGTTGCAGAATGGGCAAAGGCTTTGTAGTTTAGTGATATTTTGTCCAGTGCCTTTTCTTTATTTAACAAAAAATATTCAATGTTTTCTCTTTGCTTCATTATTTTTAAAATCATCATACTTTTCTAATGTGTGCTAGCAATACTCAGTTTCAAAAAGGGGAGTAATTTATCTGTGACTCCATTGCCTATTGAGCCACAGCATCTTCTCCATATTTGTCATGTTAAGCAAGTACTCCCCAATATCGATGCCTCCAGACTTCTGGATTAAAGCAGATTGTGTTCACGCAAACAACCTACTATTGTAATAGCTTGACATCCTGCACACAGCTGTCATATCCCAGAACCTGGTTTTTACCAAGGCAATGCTCCCACATCTAGAGACAAGCCAGTGAAAGATATCCACAAGGCCCTCTGCAGAGACAGCCAAGAGGAGAGTCCTATCATAACACAGAAACTACTCCATGGAGCAGACACCAGACTGAGAATAGGGACTTAGGGATTCCAACCCTGTTCCCTGTACACCACAGTGACATCAAGTCACAATACCTCCTCCCTCTGAAAGTGGAGCTCAGAGGTACCACCCAGATGTGCAGTTGGAGCCTCTGCATAATTCCATAAACCAGAATGCATAATTAAGTTCATGTTTAAATAAAAAGAGGGGAAAAATCACCCCCCTTGGACAGGCTTTATAGAAGAGAGTGGACTGAACTTAAATTTCAACCATAAAGCTACAAGTTATTTTTATTTTTGCACAAATATCAAATAGATGGGAATACAGGGTTAATGGTCTCTTGGGAGAAGCAGTTACTGAAGGGTGAGAATTGAGTAGGCTATTAGAAATGCAAGTCCGTGGGACAGTTCCCCAAGTCTGAGTCACCTAAGGGTCTAGCACTGTCTTTGTGAAATAACATTTCCAAATCAAATAGTTATGAAGCACTGAAGTTCGCTAAGATTACTTCCCCAAACCCATGGTGCACAGCTTTGCCTGTCCCAACTTCAGTCCTGAGTCATCTTCAGTGAGGATAAATTACACTGGATGATCACCTGCAAGATTTGAAGTCATTTTGTGATCCTGACTGACTTAGGATAAGGCAAACACCTGAACACAAACAGTTCGGTCCACTGCTCAATTGCTACAGAATTGAGGACAAAACATATACAAAGCCAGTTGGTTTACTATGATGCTTCCTCATCCTTGCAAAGAAACAGCCACAGATGGGTTGAAAACTCCCAAAGAGGAAGGAAAGATAAAGGGGAGAATACATTTAGGCAACTTCTAATTAGATCATAAAACCGCACTCTGCAAATTTTATTATTAGGCTAAGCCTCTTAACATAGAGATTCCCCTAAACTCTACAACCAGGCAACTAATTGAGAGTTAGAAAGTGTCAAAAGAGACTTCATCCCCTTATCAGAGGCAATGTAGGATTCCCTTACTCAGTATACTCAGTATGATAAGGTGGTTTTTGTCAATGCAAGCTCTAATCAGGCAGAGGATTGGCTGGTGATGACATCATACCCATGGGCTAATCCCCAGTGAATACAGTTTTAATATCATATGCATCAACATATCATTTACATAACAAAGTATTAGAATAAGTGTAACAGTGAACAGAACGAGAGGTGCAGATTAAAAGAACTAATAGGAAAAGCTCTGTGACACAGAAAAGAGGCGGGGGTGGGGAGTGGGGGGACAAAGCAAAGATTTGTTCTTTTCTACTAACTGGAACTAGGTCACCAAACAATACACACCTCTAAAAGGATCACAAAACGAATATTGAAATCCAAGCGACCTAGAACAGTCTAGTACTAGAAATATCGAAGGCTGTCTCCAACAAAGAATATTCAATATCAAAGAGATACTCATAGGTGTACTTTTCAATGGGGTGAATTAATGAAGCCGTTCACACAGCAGGCAAGCTGCTGCTCTGGGGAACTTCATTACAGATCTCCCTGAAAAGCAGCCAATCAAATCATGACTTAAGTCTCCCAACACACTGTGACAAGTCAAAGGATAGTTAGTCCTGAGGGAAGAGAGCCAAGTCTAGAAAGACGGAATTAGAGAGGAACTTAGGGAAGAAACCTTGAAACACAGTTATTGATCAAGTTATTGAAACAAACTATTGATCAAGAAACATCCACACCTAGAAAGCCCTGTACATGAAGGAGTGATACCAACTCAACTTTGCAGAGGGCATAAGTCACCATTAGTTGGAGAGATTCTGGAACGTACACTCACCATGTTCATAAAGCCTCTATTTCCAATCCAAAGGACATGGACTTGCACCCTGGTTTATGACTCTCAAGTTAGCAGAAATGCTCCTCATCCAAGAATCTATTGAAGAATTCTTCAAATCAAATCAAACATCTGTTCCTAAACCACCAAGTGGTAAACATTAACTACATTGTCAGACCGCCATCCCTAGATTATATTGGATTTTTGTTGCTGTGTGCTTGCTTGCTTGCTTGTTTGTTTGTGTGGTTTTTTTTTTCTATCCAGGATGTTGCTAGAAAGCTTAGCCACCAATGTTCACAGATTTGGGTGTCTGAGTCTGCAGATGGACTATCCCTGTATCAAGGATATTACACAAAATACCAGACTAAGGCTTCAACGGAAATACCCCTCTCCCACTGCTGAGGCTGCCAAACGGGGATTTGACCTGTCACATTATATTAACTTTGCTCCTCTCCGATGGAAGGCCATTGAAAATCTAAAAGCAAAGAGTTCGGGGATCACTGCTTTTCACCAAAGGGGACCCCTTCAATGGGGGTGGGGGATGATGACGACACGTGGCTCGGTCTCGAGGAGTCTTTGAACTTGGGCCCATACATATTGCTGGCTGACTCCTAACTCAGCTAAGCTTTCTTAACAGGACGTGTGGAACCCTCAGCGTCGGAGAGAAAAACACACTAGCACACTAGAGAGATGCTTGTGGCTTGGGCCGCCTCCCGGGGTGGAGGCTATCAAGCTTTCTGTTTGCAACTCCCCAAGGACAAGCCTGGGTTAGACACCCTGCTGTGTGAGTCCTGCAACTGAAGCCAGAGGGAAAGAAAAGTCCAGGCGCTGCCTTGGTGGAAAAAGCCAAGATCCCTCAACTCCCAGACCCTCCCCCGTTAACCATTTGTGCTCCCTGGCCCAGCTTGGCTATCAGGGGTCCTGGAACCAACCCACCTGCTGACTCCTGTAAGGGCCCCTGCTCAGATGCAAAAGCATGAAACCCCGAGGCCAACATAGCCAGAGCCCCCAGTTCATGGAGGGTTCGCCCTACTGCTGTTCACTCCAATTCATCAAGTGGCAACTGCCCGCCATCCCCACCCATACCCTTTCGCGGCACAGATCCCTACTTTGCAGTGTCTTTTCTAACTTTAGGACACACGCGGCAGATTCAAATACTTCCCCCTGCTCCCCGCAAATGCAGGAGTGATCAGGGCTGCTCCAAGCCAAGTTAACTGATACTAGCCCAAACACCACAACTGCTCTGGAGACAATGATTGACGACCTGTTCCGAGGCAGCTCCAACCCCATCTACCGCCAGCCCTTCTCCAGAGCCCATTCTTACTGAACTAGAAAGGGCAGCGGAGTCAGATCCGGGAGTCCAGGGCAAAGCGCCGGTCGAAGCACTGGAGTCAAAGGATGCTCAGCTGGTCGTTCGAATGCAGGAGCCCCCGGTAATAGCCCATCACCATCTCATCCCGGCCAAGAGGGGGCAAAGTTCCGGTGCTGCTGCAAAGAGAAGCCGAAGCTACCTTGGGAAGCGCCGTGTTTTAAAGGAGAGACATTGCCCTGGCCAGCTTGCTGGGGTGCAGACACCACGCGCCCAGCAGGTGCGCCCCGTCCAGGGTGTCTCCAGGCTAGCTAGCTGTTCGGAAACCAGCCCGGAGCTAGCTGACCAGGAGGAGCCCGGCTGGCCGCGGACAGCGCTGATTGGCCAATCCTCCTGATTGCCCGCGTCCCTGTCAAACTCCGCAGTCCACGTGGGTCGGTCCTCTGCGCCCCGCGCCTCCCCACCCTACTACTGTGTGAGCCTCTCCCGAGCGCCTCGCTGTGGCCACCACTCTGCAGGTGAAGGAGGAAAGGTGCTGAATTCTTCTGAGCACCTGAGAGCCACTTTGAGCCCTACATAAGAAAGAAGAATTTGGAGTTCAACTCCCAGCTGAAACCATTTCCCCCTCCACAGAGGACCCACAACAGTCTGCAAGCAAGTCCTCTAGCATGTGCAAAAGCAATCTGGCTTCATGTGTAATGTCTTTGCATGGGAAAAGGGGAAACTTGACATACGTGTCAATAGCTGAATGACAAAAATAAAATTTTAATGGGGCTAAGGATATAATACAGTTAGTAGGGGAATTGCCTAAACATGCAAGAGAAGTAGAAGCAGGAAGATCAGAGGTTCAAGGTCATCCTTAACTACACAGTGAGTTTGAGGTCAGCCTGAGCTACAGGATATCCTGCTTTAAAATAAGTTTTTAAAAAAACGCATCCAGGTCTTTTTATGCCATTCTCTACTTCATTCCCAGCCATGCCAAATCTCTTTCCCTTCACAGAAGGAACCGGCAATCAGCAGCATTCAAATAATAATCCTTTTGCAGAAATTCTTTTGTCTGATCTCCATTGAGCAGCAGGGGAAACTGAGGCACAGAGAGGCTAAATGACTTACGGAAGATTGTGGAATTAATTAGTAGCATGGCTTACATTTGACCCTGGTTTGCCAGCACAGGCCTTCTCTGAGACCAAGTTGGAATTTTGGATTTTCTGGCTCCACCCCAGCACCAGAATTTTAATTTAAACCAGATTCTCCATGTGGTTATTATATGCATGCAGTTTGAAAAATCACCGTTCTCTGTCACTATGCTGTCCTCTGCCACTGGCCAATAGCTTCTTTGTCCTTTTACTTTGCAATGAGCTGAAATGATGTGTCGTTCAATCCAGAGACACATCCTAACACTTCGCTCTTCTCTGCCCCTACTGCTTGAACTCATCCAGGGCAGGCTCCTGCCTCTGGTCTCCTTGCCTTCTTACCATACATACGCACAAGGCATAGCGTAGTATTTTACCGATTGCTAAGCACTGACAATTCTTGGATCTTTTGTTATCAAAATCGGGACTTTGCAAAGACAGTCATGTTATTAAATTGTCACCAATCTAAGAGGGTTTTCAAACATGAACAATCCTTGAAATCCTGCATGATCCTATGACAGTACAGTTAAAGGACTCCCTGCGAAATGTCCGATGTCGTGATGTGTCTTAGAGGCAGAATGTCCCTGTGAACTGAGAAATGTGGCCAAATCACTGCCACAGGAAGGTAAGTTACAGGGGGAGGTAGCTAAATGAATCCCAATTATTTTTTCCCCAGCTGCTTATCAAATGCCTACACGCTAGGCTTAGGGATTCTGTGACAAACAGCAGGTGTGACTTCTGTCTATAGCTATCAGGAAAGTTGGGCACTAAACAATTCAACCAACATATAAAAGAGGCAATTTTAGAGCAACTATGTGTTAAAAGAATATAGAATAAGCTTGAGAATCATGGTGGTGGCTTTCATTTAGAATGTCTGCCCTGGGAAAGTCACTATGATGGTGACAACCAAGACCTATATGGCAAAAGGCCAACCAGGCAAGCTTCTAAACAAAAACTGTCTCCAGAAGTAGTTCAGTGATCTTCTTGTAAGAAATAGTTCTCCATTCATTTCTTAGAAGCCCCCTTGTATCCTGCTGCCCATCTTGCACCTTATGAAGTTATATAATATCATCAATGTCTGTATTATTAAAATGAGTCAGACTATTGTTTTATATAAGACCAGCTGAAGGTCATGCCAACACGGTTTTTTTGAGGGGGGGTTGCTTGTTTGGTCAGTTTTTGTTTATACACAGCAGCTCACAATACCCCCATGTGCCTGTAGGAACACATGTGATTTGAACTATGTTTCTCTTTTCTCATTTGTATACTACTGGGCATGAACACTACTGGCATGTCTTGGTGTACAAGACACATACATGCTTGTGACTGAGCCTGTGAAGGGACATTCTGACTCTTCTAGGTCTATTTATAGAAATCTCTCCATTATCTGGGCTGGGAGGATGGCTCAGTGGGTAAGCCACTTGCTACCCAAGCCTGATGACCTGAGTTCCGATTCCTAGGACACATACGAAAGCTGAATGCAATAGTGTGTGCATGGATCTCTAATACCAGGGCTCCTACAGCCAAATGAGAAGTAAATACAGGTGACTCTCTCAAGCTTGTAGGTCAATATTTGCAGTGACAACTTGTCTCAGGCAAGGGAGAAGGTGAAGGCCGACACCCAAGTTTGTCTTCTGACCTCTACGTGTGCACTGAGATACACACACACACACACACACACACACACACACAGAGAGAGAGAGAGAGAGAGACAGAGACAGAGAGACAGAGACAGAGACAGAGACAGAGACAGAGAGAGAAATTCCCTTTTATTAAGTAAAGCTTCAATTTAAATTTTTTTGCAATGCTCATATACTTTGAGTATAATTTTTCCTTGGGAGACGAATAATGATAACAACAAATGTTAGTCATAGCCCTGTGTGTCTGAGTATGTGTGTTGAGTGCCCCATGTGGCTATCAGACTCATCATCTGAAAAAGTAAATTTCTCTTACTATAGCTTCTATTCCACAGATGCAAAAGCTCCAGCACCCAAAGGGCTAAGGAATAACAAGCCCATGTTCCTGGACCAGTCTGTCACTGCAGCCTGTGCTAGGTGTCTTAGCAGAGGCAGATGAAGTTTCAGGAATGCAGAGAGCCTGTGTCTATTCCGTGGTGTCGGTCTTTGAAATGTTCAAAGCGCTGTTCCTTCACTTTTTTTATTTACCCCAGCTCTTTAACTTTCAAGTTCACTTTTCTCACTACATACTTGCTTTGCTTTCCCTTGCTTCAACTTAGGAACTATGAGGACTTTGATAAATGAAACAACTGGTGTATTTTTTTTTTCTTTTTTGTTTGTGTTAGGCGGATCTGCTCTTCAGCATCCTCCGAGGAAATGCGTCAGGCTTCTTAGAGCTGTCTACTTTGACATGCCCCGGTATCTCAAACACTGACAGCTCTTCAAGACAAAGGAGACTCACCCCTTACCCAAGAAACAGAGACAGCATCACACCCCTCGCCATAGCAGAGGTTGGGCGCAGTGTAAAGCAGTAACTCTGACCCTGGTAGAATAAATATGAACAGGTCCTCTCTCCTGCCTGAGAATGAACTCCGGAAAATGAGTCAGTATCTTCCCCACAGTCCCCATCCGAGAGAAAACACGGTGAACTTGCAGTGAGAAGAAGATATAAGGCTCCTCTGGTTGGGGCTGGAATCCCTCACCTTTCTCGGGAAGTATGGGGTCTGCTGCCGTTGCTAATGACTTCCGGCTTTGGATGGCTTGGCCAGGTTTGCTTCAGACTTCTGGAACTCAGACAAGGAGTCTGGCTATTTGCTTTGGAAGGCTCAGGTGGGTTTCTCCACCCTTCCCTTTGCTGACCACAAGAGTTTCAATAATTTATATCTCAAAGAGGAACAGCACTTCAGGGCAAATTAGTATAAGAGGGATTTATGAAGCCGCAACGGAGCACATTTTTAGCGATAACACTAGAGCTGTTACATAGATACAAACAAGGTTCTGATCAGGCCGGGCCTTGTGTAGAATCATCAAAGAAATGGAGCCCACCCTTCCCCGCCTCTTCTGCCCCAAGATCTCCCAGTCTGGTTGTCGACCTCTGAGCTCGCTGAAGATTGGGTTGTCATTCATTCTTTCTTTCATTGATCCTTTTACTAGCTCATTTAGAATTCCTGCTTATCAAAGGGACATGTGAACAGCGTGTTTATAGCAGCATGATTCAATGTGGCTGAAAAGCAAGAAACAGCCAAGCTGTTCGGGGGACAAATGGTAATCTGTGTGGTCTGCTTATAAAATAGAGTATATTCAGCCTTAATAAGGAGGAGAATTCTGACACACATAACAATGAATGAAACATAAAGACAGAGAGGGGAGGGCAAGTAAGTCAGTTACAAGACAAAAGCTGTGTGATTTCCCATGTATGATATACTTAGAATAGTAAGGTTTATAGAAATAAAAAAGAAAATGGTGGTTACCCAGGACTGGATGAGCAGGAGAGCAGAGCACTGCTGTTTAACACACGCAGACTTTCAGCATACAAGGAAAAAGATTCCAGGAGTTGTGCTATGGTGATGGCTGTCCCAAAATATAAGTGTACTCGATACCATCTAGCTGTTCACTTGCACAAGTTTACATGATAAGTTTCATGATATGTGTATTTTTCCACAACAAAGAATGGCTTTACAGTTACTCTCATCCTCTCTAAAGCTTTTTAGGACTGAAGTTTTAAGATATGATTCCAAGTATATCATAGATTACCAGTGCAAGCATACTTTGGTTATAAAATGGTACCTGCATTCGGGAGGCAGAGGCAGGTGGTTCTCTGTGAGTTCAAGATCAGCCTTGTCTACAAAGCTACACAGAGAAACCCTGTCCCAAAAAACCAAATAATAATAATAATTAAAATGGTACCTAATTCTGTTTGTGTGTACTAGACGTCACATCCAGCATTTGAGATGCAGCTGTGAAAGGTATTCATAAGACCCACCTCAAGGAACATACAAGGGCAACCATTCTGATCCAGATGGAGTCTTTGGTTGCACCATGCTTTTCTCTTCCACGTATTTGTTTAGCTACTATGTGCTGGACTCACTGCTGTGTGCTGCTCTTCCAGTGAGTAATAGATAGAGGTAGACCAAAGCCTCATAGTCCAGCAAGGGAAAACTAAGTAAGAGACTGTCTAACCCCTCTCCATCAACAAGCATAGGTTCTTCAGATTTTCACATCCTAGACTCTATCAAGATGCCTTTATCAAGTCTATCTATAATAGATGCAAA